GCATGTCACGTTGTCGTTTAGAGAGAAAGGGAGGATGACGAGAGAGGCGAGTAGGAGGGCGAAAGGAGGATGGACTCATTTGATCTTTATTGATTAATCCACGCACCGATTCCTGATTGATCTTTATTGATAGATGCACTCATTGATTGATTGATTTATTGATTAGTTAAGATCGGCCGGAGGGGGGGCGGGCGAAGGGGAGCCGCACGGAGGGCAGGCGCGCGGACGGGAGGCACGTGAAGGGGAAGCGCCATCGCCTGGCGCACGGAGGGAGGAGGAGAGAAGATGAGGGAAGTGGAGGGGGGAGGAGGGGGAGAGCAAGAAGATGAAGAAGAAGAAGAAGAAGAAGAAGAAGAAGAAGAAGAAGAGGAAGAAGAATAGTGGAAAGCAGTGGCCAACTGCCTTTCGTACACGCTGCGAATATCCTTCAATACAAAGCCGCGCATACTCATCTCAGCAAACGCGCACGTTCCCCGACGCGTTTCGATCGGCTGCGCTCCGATCTTCCTCAGGGGGCTTTCCACATAACCCTTGCCTTGCGGCCCGCCGACGAAAAGGAGGAAGGCGAGCGGGAGGAGGAGGAGGAGGAGGAGGAGGAGGAGGAGGAGGAGGAGTGGGAGGGGGAGGAGGAGGAGAGTCGAGTAGGAGTGAGGGAGAACGAGGGAGGACGTCGCCGTCGCTTGTGACGACGACGTCATCTTCTGGTTTTCTATTTTTCAACTTTTGCTTTGCTTTTCTTTTCACCTTTCTGTTTCGTTTTTTCCCCCCTTTTTTCCTGGTTTTCTATTTTTTTAACTCTTGCTTTTCTTTTCTTTTCATCTTTCTGTTTCGTTTTTTCCCCCTTTTTTCCTTGGTACGTTTACTCACTCACTCACTCACTCACTCACTCACTCACTCACTCACTCACTCACTCACTCACTTCCTCAATCACTCAATCACTCACTCACTCACTCACTCACTCACTCACTCACTCAGTCAATCAATCAATGGGTCGATCGATCACTAATGCTCGATTTTGATCGATCTTTATCAATCAATCAATCAATCAACCATTTGGTCGATCGATCAACCCATCGATTGATTGATTAAATGCACACAAATCAAAAAGTCGAGGCGAGGGGCGAGATCAAAAGGCGAGTCAGGAGCAGTTCCCCCCCCCCCCCTCCTCAAAAAAAAAGGCAGTTTGAGTTTCAGAATTTGCAAGTTTATCGGGGGGTTGAAACTGTGGCCGTTTGATTGAGCAGCGGCTTTTTTTGCCCTGTTTCGAGAACTGCTAAACTTTCGTATTCCAAGCGCTAGGTGTGACCCAGGAGCTTTTTTTGGCCTTTTTTTTTTTTTTTTTTAAGTCTGCCGCCATAACACTTCACATGGCGCCTTACCGACCCTTAGGAAAGCCGCCCTTACCGTCTTTCCCCGAATAGAACGTACGGTCATTATCGCTGTATCTAGACTGAAAGTTGCCCTAAATACAGGCATAATGATCGTACATTCTATTCGGGGGAAGACGGTAGCCTTGTGGACGGATGGATGGCTTGGGGGATGGTCGCTCGGTGTGCGAACATGAGCAACTCTCTTTTTTTTGGGGGGGGGGGAGGAAACTACGTGGGAGTCACGAAAATGAGTTATAATTGCAGTATGGGCCAAGAAACGGTTTCGAATTGCAGTTTGGGCAATGTATACAACCCATATTTCTGGCCAGGTAAGGTGCCCGAAGTGCAATTGCAAACTGTATCTTGTCCCATATATTAGTGCAATTATAACTCGTTTTTGTGACTCTACTGAAATTACCCCTTTCTTTTTTTCTTTTTTACCTGCTTTTTCTACTTCCTGCCTAGGCTACCAGCTGGGCCGCCTGGGTCCCGGGTGGCCAGCCCGTGCAAGGACCAAAGAAGGTCCCAGCNAAAAAAAAAAAAAAGAAGCCAAAAAATCCCCCAAAAAACTATGTTATGCGGAAAACTAAACTGAACAACTTTTGCCTCAGGGTCAGATCGAAATTCTTCAACAAATTTAAAATAAAAATAAAAATTTAAAATTTTTTATTTTATTTTATTTTTTTTGGCCCGGCCGGGCAAGTGACCCCGGGCCACTCTGGTAGCCTAGCTTCCTGCATATGTCTGCGGAATGAGTGAAATCTGAGTGAGCAAGGAATTTGAACCCTCAACTTTGGGCCCCGCCATCCCCACTCCCGGAATTTGCACAACGGAGCACGTATCTTCCGCAAAAACATGCAAAGATACGTACGCCATAGTTTTTGTCTTTTTCACATTTGGTGAGTCGTCTGCCGATGCTATTTGTTCCCATGTTTTGATGATAATCGCGCCCAAACAGGATGTCCCCTTTTTTATGATGATCGTGTGCACACAGGATGTCCCTACCTACGCGTGAAGAATTCGATGTGCAGATGGAAATGGAGACGCCCCAGAAGGTACATTGTCAGCGGCCAGTGCCTGAAGAGTTATTCTTCATATTGAGTCGTAACTGATCCTTCTGTCAGTTTCTATCAGGTCCTTGCTTTTCCTTCTTTCAGGCAATCAGTGGTCAGTTGCTCATTGTTGCGTCACATGCCGGCACCCAGTTTTTATTCTTGCCATGTTGGGGGTAGAGTCTGTGCAGAGCTCTGTTTCGATGGCCGGAGGGCAAGCAGATATGCACGTACAGGCGCTGTTTGTTCGTACCCCCCTTCTCTCTCTCTCTCTCCATCTCTCTTCATCTCTCTTTCTGTCTTCACGTCCCTTTGTTGGTGCCTCTCTCTCTCTCTCCCTTACTCCTTCGCTCGCTCGCACTTGGTCTCTTTCCCTGTCGAATCTGACATGATTCGGACAGAGGGCGGCAGCTGCTGCCTCCAGTGTGCTGTCATCTGACTTTTCACCCTTGTGTGTTGTATATCTGTGAAATGCGTTAATGTAGTATAGGTGGGTATATCTCAGGAATGCCGTGATCGCTTGGGCGACAATCGCCGACGGTCCAAAAAAAAAAAAAAAAAACAATCGGTGACGGTCCGGTCAGATCTGCATGATCTAGGCGAATGAGCGAAGAGTAGTGAAGTGGTGTTCAAAATTTAGCCGGGTAGGACGGGGAGGAGAGGAGAGAGAGAGAGAGAGGGAGGGGGAAAGGAGGTGGGCGGGGGGGGGCGAGGGGGTAGAAGCGAGGGAGAGAAGTCGAAGCCGGTGAGAAGGGGTTGGTGGCAAGAGTATGGACGTTCTGGGTAAGACGGGGAGAAGGGAAGAGAGATAGAGAGGGAGGCGGGAGGGGAGGGTAGAAGCACGAGGGAGAGAATTCGAGGCCGGCGATAGTGAGAAAGGGTTGGTGGCGTGTGTCAGGGCACTCTGGGTAAATAAGGCAAAGGGTGAAGGGTGTTGTGTTCCTCTGTACGTCTGTCTGTCTTGCTGTCAGTTCTTTCCCTGCTGCTCCTGGCTGGCTGTTAGAAAAGCTAAGAGCCATGGGGGCAATAACAGTGTATATTATGCTGGACAGGTTGCAGGTGGCTAGTCTGTCGGCCCTCTCCCCCTCTCGCCCTCCCAATAAAGTAGCTATCACACAGCTTGACCCGAATGCAAATATTCGAGCTGCCATTAAGGCGTTCGTCCGTGACCATTTGTACATAGCCGAAGATATCCAGCGTCTGACTGCTCCTCTGTTCTCAAAGGTGAGTGATGGAGAGTGTATCGAGGACGTGTACAGCCGCTACGCGTGCCACGTGGATCTCGACGTGACGAATCTGCACCTGGACGAAGACACGTTCTGCGTGTACGGCCTCGAGGGTTCCCAGACTGTGACCTTGTCAGATTCTGACAGCCTGCACGACCGGCATATCCTGGACAAGTCGACGCTCTACCTGCATGCACTTCCTCGGAGCCTTCCTCCTCAAGGGGGGCGCATCTACGTGGAGACCAAAGAAGGCGTGCTTCCGCTGACCGGCATTCGCCCCACAACGACAGTCCGAGCTGTGAAAGAGCTCCTGTCTAAGCTTACTCTGATTCCTATCTGTCGTCAGATGCTGTATTCGATCGGAAGGGTGATGCACGACGAGATGATGGTGCGGGATTTCGAGGGGCTGCACGCTGTGCACGTAGATAGCGTGCTTGACATGTGTGTGTCGGGGGATAGCAGCCGTGAGCAGACTCATAAGCGGATCGTTGTTAAGGTGCAGAGTGACCAGTCGTTTGGTGGGTGCATTGAGTCCTCTGCTACGACAAGTACAAGCGGTAGTTGTACCTCCTCCTCCCCCTTCTCCTCCTCCTCCTCCTTCGCGGCAGCGGAGCCTCTTTTAGTGGTGTGCCAGGGACGAGATACTGTGCGGGAGCTTATGGCAGTCATAGAGACGCGAGCGGGGATTCCGATGTCTGGGAAACGACTCCGATTTGGGGGCAAACTTCTCGACAAGGATAAAAGCTTGGCCGACTACTTCGTTCAGCAGGAGTGCATGCTACACATTGTCCCGTCAGGGAGCCCCTTCAAGCCGACCAGGCTGGCGCTGCCAGAGCCCATCTATGCAGATGACTCGCCTGTAGGAAAGGTAGTGGCTGCATCTCGTCGTGCAGGGGAAAGCGGAGGAGTGGGGGGAGAGGGATCTGCCGGGGGGAGGGCGAGAAGTCCTGCTGCTGCGGGTGGAATCTACGGGGCGGGCAGGGAAAGAGACGAGGAAGCGGAAGATGGCGAAGAAGCATTTGTCATCAAGAAGACACCCCCTGCCGCTCGCAAGATCAAAATGATGCGCACTAGCAATGGTAAGATTGTCGGGTCTATCGTAATACCAGTGCTTACTTCTGATCGAGTCGGTGACGTAAAGCGAAAGATACGCCGTCGATTAAAGCCATTGACGGAGAGGATGTTCAACTCGGATGGGGTGGCGAATCTGTACGAGAGACTGGGTGACGTGGCTGCCGATGTCGCACGTGGCAAGTCTTTCTCCTCTGTCGCATCGTCACCACTGGACAGCTCAATCGGTTTTGGTGGTCACAGTACCGCTAAGCCGTCGAGCAATGGGGAAGCACCGGCGATTTGCGCTCGTGCGTTGCGCGCAGCATGGGGTTCAAGTGGCGGAGCCGGGTTGCCCCCGCGACCAGCGCACCTTTCTCCTCGCGCCGGGCCAGGGGCTTGTGGGTTGTCTTCGCCACGATCGTTGGGATTGCCTGCGCGGGTTTCCCCGAAGTCGTCGCCCAGGTCGTCGCCCAGGGTGTCGCCCAGGACATCCCCCCGGTCGTCACCAGGTTCCTCCCCGGCCACCTCACCCAGACGAACGCGAATGGCTGATAAGACGTCCGCACCGAGGGGGCACCCGGCTGCATCCACGGGGGCCGTAACAGCAGGGAGGGAGCCGTGGAGGGTTGGTGCCGCTGGTGGAGGGGGTGCTGGCGGGAGGTCCCCCTCTGCTGCTGGTTTGAATTCCCCTACATTGCCTCTGGAATTGAGTAAGCTAAAAGTGGCCACAGGTGGGGCGACATCTGTGAATCGCTCGCCATCAGGGAGGTCAGAGCAAGGAGGGGATAACTTTCGGGCAGCGGCAGTCGCGTCCTGGTGGAAGCACAACGTGCAGAACTTGAGAGAGCAGGTGAAGAGGATGGGTGACCGACTCTAGTAAACCAGTGACGATGATAGTGGTAGGACTGGATGGGTAACTGGCTCTAGTACACAGCAGTGACGAGAATAGTAATAGGAGTTCAATTATGGTAGGTAGATGACTGGCAATTTCCACCTTATCTGTAGAGGAGTTTTAAGAAGGATGTGCACCCCTTGGCACCCAAAAGTTAGTCAGTTTCTCTCTTCGTCTTACTGCCCTGATTACTCTCCCAGCTGATGCACAGCTTTATGGTGTTGGGCAATCACTACCAGCCGGCCGAGCACCACCTTCAACTGCTTCTCCCCCTCTTACTCCTACTCGTTCTCTCTCTCTCTCTCTCTCTCTCTCTCTCTCTCTCTCTCTCTCTCTCTCTCTCTCTCTC